CTTACGAGACGAATGGCCAATTGAAGGGAAAAAAAAGAAGAAGGAATGTGGTTATGCAAATAAGGAGGGGAGAATACCTACTACAAAACCAAATATATTACACAAACCTTTGACATTAAATCTTCAAAATGGACTCTAGTAAGGGTCCTGTTGTGGAGATCTGTAGTTCACGGTATTGATGGTTCATAAACTAAAGTGATTATTCCATGCTCAATCCTCTTCTATCATGAAGTCAAAGTTGATCTTACAAAACAAGAACGCCCAATCGCTACTTGATTATCATAAAACATTTTCACATCCTTCTATGACCTTAATTCTATTAATATTTTATTTTATGACATCCTTTGTCATGTATCATAGCACTAAATTCAGCCTGCGCACTAGGAAAATTCTAATGGTCTGAATATAGCATTTTTTCATGTTACCAAATGACATGGGTAAAGCCTTAATTATAATACTATATGTAAGGATAAAAATAACAGTAGAGAAGGAAAGGAAAGAACACCCACAAAATATTTACATAAATGAGCCTAATGAATAGGATTTGAATAATGGGCCCAAATAATGGGCTACTCCATTTACCGGAGAGGCAAAGTAGCTAAAAACTCCACTACTTGAGACCGCCCACTATTTCTAATTATGTTAACTAGCAATATGTGTTTTAGTTCCTAATTTTTTAAAACAGCCTCCATGTTTATATAGTCCAAAGTCTTCCAAATTCCTTTTCAAGATCCTTTCTGTAAATATAATTCTTCTTTTTATCAATATCGGGTGGGTGTATTTTTGGAATCCCCTTGGCTTTGTTCAGGATGATGCCTTATTCCGTGCTGTACTTATTCTAGGTCTAATGGAAGTGATACCTATCAAGGATGACTAACAAACTTACCGGTAATCAAGATGTTCTCTGTGATTCAACAAATATGGATCTATTTCGTAGATTCTCTGTCCACCGCCAGGTGGAGGAATGGACCTCACAGTGAAATCAGCGTTGTTACTTTTTGAAGGAATTGATATCTCCTCCAGCGGTGCTTGATCACCATCAACATTATCTACTGGCAATGATTGAAGATCTTGATCTGTTTCTTCAATAAGCTTCTCATCAGCTTCCATTGTTTGATTATCTACATCATGAAGCACCTGAAACCATATTACAAGACAATGAAACAAATTTATTGAGAAGAGAATAGATGTGGCAACGAAAGTAACCATGAGTATAAAGACAAAAGTAAAGACATCAAGTCAGTACGACTAACAGACAAAAGCTATCCTGAATGAAAATCCTTAGAATGAAAAACGTAATTGAACGGGCCTAGATAATAGAAATTTTTTACAAACAGTACTAAATCAGAGCAAGGATAGCTAGATGGCTGATTTGTAGGCTTGATTCTAAAATAGGTTGGGGGAATTAAGATTCTTTGTACACCCCTGGAGATTTAAAACATCTCACATATAGTTAGAACCATTTCATACAACTCAAAGAGGTTACCAACATAATTAATGGCATGATTTTTGAGAATTAGAATTCAATTGTAGTTTTTTATTATTATGTATAAGTATTTATTTATGTGAATGACATATACAAAAACTTCAGAGATATAAAAACAGCTCTTCAATTGGAAGCAAAATAATAAGAAAAAGCTTTGGAAGAAGAGCTCCAAAGAGAAACAAATCAGACCACAGACCCAAAATCCTTGAAAGATCCTTCCATCCTCTACAAAATGTAAAATAAAATAAAACTAAGAATAGCTTTAACCATGTAACATTTAGAGCGTCAAATGCAATTAGATCCATTTTTGGGTATTAAATTAATAAGACCAAATGCCCAAAGCTTTCTTGTTGAGATTGGTGAAACCACAAATGAAAGATGCAAGGTTCCGAGGACTGGTCCAGGGAAAGCCAAGTCAATGTTGAAAAATTAAATCAAAAGAGCTCCCTTCAAATAATTGAGAGAAGAGGCATTTCAAAAGCAAGCAGACAGCAGTCACAGCAAGAATTGAAAAAATATACACATTCGGTAGTGGGTAACGATGTCTCTCTTGAACTATGTCGCAAGTGCTAAGCCCTCCTTGACAACAGTCCAAACCAAAACTTATTTTCTTTGAATATTGGCATTTGCAAAATGCAACTCCACATAATTATTTTTTTACCTACGAAAGAAACTTGTATGCACAGTCTCAATTTTTATTTAGAACAGAAGGCCATCCAGTGACAGGTTGTCTTCAACCGCGTAATTGAATTTCTATCATTGACATGAAAAATAATTTATTTCACCCAGAACAAAAACTAACCTTCCTGCTTATTTCACACCTTTCATAACTCCACAATACCATGTAAACTGATTTTATATCATCACATTGCCATGCAAGTCCATCGACAATGCACCTATGACTGACTACAAGGCTGTGGTTTCTTAGCAGCAATTTTTATTTATTTATTTTGAGAAGAGAAACCAATTTCATTGGTGAATGAAATAACAGAAGCTTAATGGACTCCCAACACCAAGAGGTGAACTACAACAAAGATCTCCCACTAGAAATTATAAAAAAATAAATTAAAAAAAAAATCTATAATCTCTAAAAGGATGTGTATGTACCCCATGGGAAGGATGATCCATAACAACTGAAGATAGATTAGCCGACATGTCATTTGGCAAAACCACAGACCAACCAAAAGCATCAAGCACTGTTTTCCAATACTGAGTAGGGTGCAATGAGCAAAAAGATGGCAAGGATGCTTTGAGGAAGAAAAGCACATGACACACCAATATGAAGAGAGGGCGAAATGAGTCATTCTCCTTTATAAGCAATCAGCTCTATTATCAAAGTCCACCGTGACTAAGTTCCCATAAGAAATTTTAATTTTCCTAGGATAAGTATTCTTCCATATCACATAATATGAATATTTTTCGAATCATTACCATTAGTGTGAACAAAGTCATTCATGATATTGGTTTCTTAACAGAAATTTGGCTCTCCAATATCGAATAAATGGTTTAGAATCTAAATTTCAGCTTAAATTGCAATAAAAGCTGTAACAATCTCAGTAAAACCAATAACATAATATCATTAACCTGAGTGTCCTCGGAGGCAGGGTCAGAAGTTTCAGACAGCCCGGCCAAAGTCGAAGATCTATTGCTTCCAGTCCCAGGAACCAGGACCTTGTCCGAAGCAGCATTTGCAGTCGACAGCACGGAACCAGAATCATGAGTAGACTTGCTTACAACAATCTTCCCTGCAAACAAGGATCGCTTCAATTCCATGGACAGAAGAACAAATCTCCGGAAACAGATTAATTAATTTCACAAGCACGAACTGAAGTTCATTAACAACTAATCAGTTTACAAGTCCTCTAAACAACAAGAACTCACAATACACCCCGTAGTGATAACCAGCCAGGAAAATCTTAGCACATAACATACACTTACAGCCAACGCCAGTGATCCAAATCAACCTTTCAACGCATATAAACGACATTTTAAGGCAAAGATAAGCAGAAAAAACTAATCAAACAAGAAAATCAAGTGGAGCTCCAGGAGTCTACATCTTATAAAAGAGTAAAAACATTATTAGGAATGAAAATGCAAAAGTGAGATGAGTACTAGCAGACGAGTCCTTCCGCAGGAAGAGAGACATCGGCGTCCTCCTGTCGCCATTGACGGTGGAGTCAGAGCACTTGCAGATTGGCGGAACTGCAGGGAACCGAATCCCTGGGATCGTATAAACCATTTTCCGACGAGAAAAGGAGAAAGGTTGAGAACAATGGAAGCAGCAAGAGATTGAATGAAGGTGATGAAACTGCGTGAAGACAGTTAAGAGAGAAAAATAAAAGTGAATCTGTATGTATACACTATTCAGGAAAGAAAGAGAAATGAACGACGCGCGAGAGAAGGAAGATGGAGGGAGGTTAGATGACACGTGGACAGTCGTGGTACGTGGGTCCCGCATCCTAAGGTTTTTCCTCCATTTTTTACTATTAATTTTGCGCGCCTTTCAACATTCGATGCCAAGTTCTAAACCTATTTCTTGGAGAAAAAAAAAGGTGAAAGTACCATTTTAGACTGTTCTCAGTAGTTTTAAATTTCAGATTTGATATTAAAAATCCATAATTACATTAAAAAAAGGACAAATAATAATAAAGGTCTATTTCAGATTATAACCCCATTTAATTGTTGATATTAAAATATGTAGATATATATAGCACTATATATAAATTAATATTATACTAAATCTATAATGTAAAATATGTTAACTAATTGATAATAATTTATATTGAAGTATGTATTTAGTTGGTAATTATTATGTTTTGTTTCTAATATGTTCATAAGGATAATTGGGAGTGTTAATCATGAATAATTTTGTTTAAATAAAAAATTACATGTTATAAATACAGTGGATCAAACTATATTAATTGCAAATAAAAAAATACATCAATTTTAAATTATTTAAAATCAGATCATATTGTTACCTTAGATGTCAAAATTAATATAATTTAATATATTAAGTAAATACTTATACGGAATTTTAACTCAATTTTCCAACACTTTTATTTACCCAATAAAAATACGAAAATTAAATAAGTCACGAGAAAATGAACCAAAGTACCAAAATGGACTAAAAATATGAAGAATCTTAGTGAAACTTCTTTTTTGAAGTAAAATACGTACAAAATTTAAGAAGCTATTATGAGGGAAAAAAATGATTATAAAAAGAGGGAAATAAAAAAATGTTTAATGTGTTGTCGAAGAAAACAACTCATGGAAAAAGGTGATGGATCACGTGACTACGTGGGTGTCATTTGTGGAAGGCTAAACTTAAAGGCATAACATATTGCTTATTTACAAATAGAATAAATTAATAAAAATAATCGCTAAATTTTATATTTTGTTTAGAAAATATTATTAAATTTTCAAAATTTTAAATAATACCATTAAACCTTTTTAAAAAAATACATAATAAATTAATGCTATTGAGTAGGATTTTTCTAAAACATAGACGGAGACATTGAAAGAGAACTCGAGTGTCCATATCTTCTTTAATGGAAATCAAGAACAAAGAAGGAATATGCTGTGCCAATAATAATAAATCCAAATGACCCTTTCAATTTCCACATGATTTTTCTAAGTAAATAGGAAAGTAAATACAATTACACTCTTACCCGCCCGCTCGTTTGAATAACAAATATCGTTTCATGGGTATGAATATTAAGCCCGCCCGCCCGCCCGCTCGCCCGCTTCCCCGACACCGATCACTGTTTCGTGTTATCAATATCACGCACAATTTTCATCGATGGAAGCACAATGGCAGCTACAGGGTTATCTTTTAGGCCACCACCTTCATCAATGATGAGTCTTAAGCCATCAATATGAAGCTTACCATGGTGTCCACTTACAACGATTGTTGGCTTCTCAGACAGTGCCTGCAAGGAACAATCCAGATGCCACAGATTTCAGTGAGTTTTTAAGGATCAAAGGCATTTAAATTCATTGAAAGAACAGCATGAACTGAGGTGGGTGTGACTTTGAGTACTCACATTTGGGATATCCCAAACGTTTTTCCTCCCACTAAGGCACTCTATCTTGGGTGATTTGGTGTCTTTGGCTTTCAAGGAATTCAGTTGTTCTTCAACATCTTTCCCTCGCTCTAAACCGGCGTGGACGGCTATCAATTTATAGTGTTTGATGCCTTCCTCTGTCTCCAAACAGATATCATCCTGGAATCAATTACTAAGATCATCAGATTCATTTTGGTTATATGTTTTGAATGTGGTTTACTTGAGAGTGGGAGACTTGCCTCTTCATGTACCCAAGCCATATTGGAAAGGAACTTCTTGTGTTCATCAGGCACTGCCTCGACCAAATCTGAGAAAGAATGGTTACATTGTTTAGTTGGATACTCAACTTATGAAACAAGAACAAACTTAAAAAGCTAGTTATAAATTATAACCAGAAACCTGCAAGAATCTCTGCAATTAAACACATAAGTTGTCTTTGTTATGCATGGGAGTTCTATCAGGAAGTTAGTACGGGCAGAAGATGGTAGCTAGTCAAAGTGTCCACCGCTTCCTTCATTGCCTTTGTGAGATCCTACATCGGTTGAGCCTCCTCAACATTTGTTATAAGGGTGTGAAAACCTCTCCTCAAAAGACACGTTTTAAAACCGTGAGGTTGACAACGATACGTAATAGGCCAAAGCGGACAATATCTGCTAGCGGTGGGCTTGGACTGTTATAAATGGTATCAGAGCTAGACACTGGGCCCGTAAGAGGATGGATTGTGAGATCCTACATCGGTTGGAGTGGGGAATGAAACATTCAAGGGTGTGAAAACCTCTCCCTACGTACGGGTATTATATCAATCTTAATGCAACTTGCCTGTTCTTCACAATTTAAATTTACTTCTTATCAGTTCCTACCAAAAAAACAGGGCATCCATTGTTGTGCATAGATCAAAACCTCAAAAACCTGTTCAAGGAAGGGTCCATGGGGGATAAAATGATATCTATTCGAGAGAGGTATGGGTTTAAAAATGTTCAAGAGCCAGAGCTAATCCTCAGTATCCAAAGCTTTGTTCATCAAGAATGAAAAGGAAAATTCAAAATGCAATGAATTCAAGGTAACATTCCACCAATAAGTAAAGGAAAAGGAAGAAGAGAAGAATACCTGCAGAGCCATGAGGAACACCATAGGACTCAAATGTCGGTCCAGCATCATAAATGGAACCCTGATATTCAGTCCCCTTCGCCAAATTGGTTTTCACCGTAATTTTCCCACCCCATCTTCTCCCTTGCAAATGCATATTCTCATACCCCTTACCTCTGAACCACCCTTCTCGCTTTTCGTTCTCCTCGAACTGCGTCCACGTATCCTTAAAAGCCGATCCATCGGCCGGAGGAGGCAAAATTCCGAGGAAAGCGGCGAACGCAAAATCGTGATTTCCGGCGAGGAAAACGTGCTTCTGGCTTGGATATCTGGAGGGTAAATTGATCAAGAAATCAATTACTTCTCGGCTATTCGATCCCCTGTCGCAATAATCGCCTAAGAAGATTATGAGAGCGGAATTGAAATCCGATGGCTCAATGGAGGACTCGAGATTCAACCATAAGTTTCGAAGCTTGGTGATGTATCCATGGACGTCGCCAATGCAACAGACTACTCTGGTTTTCGCCGGATTTTGATCGGAATGCGACATCGGATTGACCACGAGACGCTGTGGTGAATTGCGTACGGCTGAGGCAGCTGGTATAAAATTATCCCTTATTAGGATTTTTATTTTTTATTTTCTAGTCAAAGAGGATTTAAAGAAAATAATAATAATAAATCAATTTTTGGTTTTGAACTATTTCGAAGAGCTAGTTAAATCATGTTCATGGAACAGAGCAAATTTTGTTCCATGTATTCAAATTACATATGTGGTCGAACATAGCTAGTTGGATATCACACATGGGTTAGATGGAACTCGCAGACATGAATTTATCATTACAACACGAGTTTCGTTTGATCAAACTACTATCTTTTTCTTCCCCATGTCAACATCTTAAAAAAATCCATATGATATTCCCTTAAACTCGTATACATAATGCATGAGTTTAATCTTTAAAGTTTGTGCTAATCGAAGTCGTCCCACTTTCTGGACAGGTTTGTGGGTCAATGTTTTTGTCTACCCCGACTGGCAGCAGCTAGGTTTTTTCCTAAATCAAAAGCAAAATGGTCTACCTCCCGAGTCTCGTCAAGCAATTCGACTTAGCGAGAAAATCCGGCGTCCCCAAAGCGAGCGGCAGAAAAACTCTCATTTGGTCACTATGATGGGCACAAAGATGAGCAAGCAAAGGGGGTACTACCATTTGGTTTCCTCATTTATTGCTCTAAAGTAATTGATTTCTGTGGTACAAAAGGGTATAGTATGAAGGTAATGAAGTAAGAAATTTGACATGAGAGTGCAGAGGACACTGACAGGATTGGCTATCTCTTCTGGAAGTTGAAGAATTTGATTCCATAGGCAAACACGAAGAAGAAGACGAGAACCCAGACGACATGTGCTATGACCACGACAGGGATGAAGTCGTGGTCGTACCCGAAACCTTGCTTAAGGAACATCTTTAGTCCTACATTTCCAAATCCGGGTATCTGAACAGGAATATCTTTGTCACCAACTTGAGAAGCTACAATGCCATAAATTGTCCAAGCCACAGGATTAGCCCAGTAATACCACCTCCACCATATGGGGATTGCCTACAAAAGTGTTGATTTAACCATGAGTTTCACAAGTTCAAAACTATCCGAGTTCGAGATATCGAAATTGGACGTTGCATACCGGTCGAGGAATAAGAAAACCAGTGAACAAATTCCAAAAGCCAAGAAAGAAGGACATGACCACGGCTGCAATGTGGTGGCCTGGAGTCACGGCTACAACCATCATCCCATACAGTGTGAAGTATGTAAAACACATAAGAACCAAGTAGCAGAACAGCAAGAACTTCCCCACTTTCCATTCAAATCCAATCATACTATAAATAATGACACAATAAATTAAAGATTGAACAGAAACATAAACAGTCTCAATTGCCACCTGCAGGGAAAAAAAAAGGAAAAAGGTTGAATCTTTAGTTAACTTATTCGTGATTAAGCTTTTGGGTCGAGTGATACCTGAGCAAATGCATACGGCAAAGCAGAATACATCCCGGCAGCTCTTTCTCGATAGAAAACCGTTCTTTCGATAGCAACCACGGACTGCACAGATGAAGCATTGGTAGCTCCAAGGAAGATGACAGCAGAATATATAGCACCCATAACATTTAACACATCTTGTTCTTTGGCTCTGAAAAAACATAAAAGCATCAATAAAGTAGAATGTGACAAGAACACAGAGTAATACAGGTCAGTGAAGCCTTACAATTTTTGTCCCTTGTCCCAGAAAATTAGACCAAATAAGATACCAATAACTATTGTAATGAAGAAGCGTATGGCATTGTATTGAGGATGTCGCCAATACGAGCGATGTTGTTTCCAGAAACAAGCTTTGCATTGAGAGAAAAACGATTGTGAGTATTCGGTTGGGAAGTTTAGGTCTTTGGACCCTGAAGCTGGGGTACTAAGCTCCAGTATAAGTTCTTGGTTCCTCCTGAAACAAGAATTGGAGTGTTAAGAAAAAAAAAATGATGGAAATTCAAGAACGTTGTGTGAACTTAAAGCACAATCATACATACTGATAAGCTGGAGATTTAGCAAAAGTCTCAGCAAGATTAATATTAAGTTGAGCCTCAATTTGAGGAGCAGTAACCTCAAGCATCCATGTAGCTGGATTCTGACCATCTTCAATCTTTGGAATCCCTGGAATAGCCTGTCATCAAACAGCCACCAAATTGAACATTTGGGTAGAAAATGGAAAAAGAACCGAAACAAATATACTCACCTCAAAATATTCAATGAGTTTGCAAGATCGCTGACCAAGTGGTCCGGCATAGATCATTTGTCCACCATGTTTCAAGAGCAGTAGCTACATGAAGCATTGAAGTTTGGAGAATTAGAAACGGTGTAGCGACAAACAATCATTTAGAGTCTATTCAATAATACCTCATCAAAAGCTTCAAAAATGTCTATGCTTGGCTGGTGAATTGTGCATACAACGGTTCGCCCAGTATCAACTGTATTTCGCACGGTACGCATAACAATGGCAGCAGATCTAGCATCAAGACCAGAAGTTGGTTCGTCCATGAAGATGATTGATGGATTAGCAATCAACTCCACTGCTATTGTCAATCTTTTCCTTTGTTCGGTTGAAAGACCATCTACTCCTGGAAGCCCCACTAAAGCATTTCTCAATGCATCTAATTCTATTAGTTCCATAACTTCTTCCACAAACATCTACATCAACGAAGATTAGTCATATGTTCGACCACATTCTGCATCAACTGGAGGCATAAAGCTGCAAAAGTTTCTAGTGGGAGAACATACCCTTCTTGTTTCGGTATCGACATTGGAGGAAAGGCGGAGCCAAGCAGAAAAGAGGAGAGACTCGTAGACCGTAACGTGAGGCGAATGAATGTCAGTTTGTTCACAATAACCACTTACTCGAGCAAAGGTTGATTGCTTCTTTGGGTAACCAGAGATGCATATACTTCCTTCAATATAACCGCTGGTCTTTCTTCCAGCTAGTACATCCATGAGTGTAGTTTTCCCAGCACCACTAACACCCACAAGAGCTGTTAATACCCCTGGTCGAAAAGCTCCGCTGACATCGTCTAACAGTTGAAGACGATCTTTCTCAATCCCGTGCATCTTCATTTCCTAAATGGAAAGACATTGAGTTTAATGATCAAGTAGTATCAGCCACTTTGTAAAATTATCCATACAAAAACTTGGAACTTGTTTGGAAGGACTTTCTAAGTGAATCCAAACAGGCTCTTACAAATTTGAGTTAACTTACAGTAGGCATATCCACATAATAGTTAACATGGTTGAATGCAAGTGAAAGTGGCTGGAAAGGCAAAACCATTCCTCCCCTTTGCAATGGATCTAAATCAGCTACTATTTCTGAAGAGTTGATGAATCATAGTTAATGCCTATGGTTTCTCTTTCAATATCAAAGCTCTCACTAAAGAAAATATAACTACAAGTCAAAGATCAAACCTTGTGCATTGGACCTATTATTTTTTCTTTTCTTCTTGTCTTCATCCATGCAAATGAGAGCCTTTGCATCGGCAAGCGCTGAAAATAGTTTCAAACGGATTAATACCGTAGTAATGATAATCATCATCATTTGAATGGACAAATCAAATTATACTCTTAAAATAAATGAAGGGTTGAGATTATTTACGATTCAAGTAAGTCAAAGCTATTGTAAATAGAATGTTGAAGAGAAGATTAAAGCCGAAAAGTGCCGCAATGCAAATCCAGTACCAATTTTCTTCCTTAAAGAAACCCCTACTTGCAAGGAGCACTTTCCCAACAGTAGGTTCATTAATTCTATTATCTGTATTTTTCTGCATTAGGCAAGTATGCTTTTGAGTTATTATGATGGAAAAAGGAACATATAACTAAATTTAATGTATTTTTCAAGCTAAGATTTACCTTGCTCCATCTTTCATCTAGGAACTCATTGATGACAATGGCATTTTGTCCATACATCATGGGAGAAATGTAAAAGCCCCAAATTATCCATGGCCCGATGTTCTCTATGCGCACAGAAGGAAAACCAAAATTTGGCAAACAAAATATTTTCATCCACTAGAGTAGATGTTGTAGAGTCAAAGTTTAGCCATAAGAAAAGAAGAAAAATCACTTACCTCTGTCAATAATGAAACCTCCAAGCAAGAAAACTATTAAAAGAGCAAAGGTGCCCAAAGTACTTGCAATAACTAGCGCTCTTCCAATAGCAGCCATAAGTCTAAATAGCGATAGAGCTGCTTGATGAGTGGCAAAGAAGGCCAAAAATTGCTTGAAGAACCTAGAGATTCAATGGCCAGGTAAGTAAAGTTTGTTTTTGTTAACAAATGAGAAGGAAAGGAAATATATATACCTACTAGGAGCAGGAGCAAACCCAATTGTGTAATAAGTTAGAAGAATCCATATCCCTGATTCTGCGAGAGATAGAGGAATTCTGAGGAGCCAAATAGGCAAACTGAATGCCCAGGCAGGATAGAACAAGAAATCCCTCTGTTTAAAGAACACTGGAAGCCTGAAGAGAGTGAGAGCCATTTCTGCCATTCCATTAAACATGATATTCATGAGGCTGAAAAACAAGGCTCCAAGGAACTTGCCTCCACCAGTTACAGTGCCCACTTGCATTTCAGACCTCAGAAACACAGTCATAGCAATGATGGACATGATAGTGATCTGGACCGTCTTGAACACATAGATAAAAGCATTTCTCTTCATTAGCAGTACCTCTCTTGAATAGCACGCCCTGAATAGCTCCCACTTAGATAAACCATATTTCTCCATGACTAATGCAGCTGGGTGAGCTCTAGATTTGTCATAAGGCACATCAAGATCAGAGGCAAGCTGTTGGCCAATGCTAAAAGACTTGAATCCTTGCAAAAAATCAGGAACAGAAATGAATCTATATGATTGGTTTTTTTTATACCAATATTGTTCTTGGTCCCCTTTTGATGTCACTTCTTGTAAAAAATCAGCAACTCCTTTCCTTTCTGGGCATCTAAAACCCATAAATTCAAAGAATTCAAGCACTTTTTCTCTCGGACCTTGATACACGATTTGACCTTCTGAAAGCAGAATGATATCATCAAATAGATTATAAGTTTCAGGAGCTGGTTGTAGCAGAGATATGACCATCGTTACATCCATTATATGAACCATTTGCCTCATGGATTTGCATATCTGAAATGTGGTGGAACTGTCTAAGCCTGTTGATATTTCATCCATAAACAAAGCCTTAGCTGGCCCAACCAGCATCTCCCCTACACACATTTTGTCCAAACTTTTAATTAAACTTATTGCACGAAACTGTAAAAACAACAAAGAAAAATGAATATTCTCAACCTGTAGTAACCCGTTTCTTCTGGCCACCAGAGATTCCCCTCCTCATTTCATCACCCACTAAAATATCAGCACAAACTTCCAACCCAAGTATCTGTTCAAAATTTACTTTGCAAGTCAGCCCAAAATATGGACAGTGTGAAAGTAAATGGCCTAGAAATGTAAGAGAAAAATGAAGACTTGTTGAAACTGCTAACCTTGAGAACATAATCTGTAACCAAACTTGCTTTTTGGCCTGAAACAGAGATGGCCTTCATGAAGGCATCGATCTCAGGGTCTGGCTTAATGCCTGCTTCTTTCTCTCTTCTTGTTAGCTCAGTCAAAAGTTGATATCTTGTGCCAACGCCCAAGCAACGACCAGAGAAATCTAATGTCTCTCTCACTGTCATCTCTCCACAATGAAGGTCATGTTGACCGATATAGGCGCAGGTTCTTTGAGGCACAAACTCATGTAGTTCATGTCCGCAATATGTCACTTTTCCACTTTCCTATTAACATTTTGCGTATCATTATTTTGCTTTTCTGCTTCAACTTTCAAATGTGTAGCCTCTCAACTTTCTCATAGTTTCTTTAAATACTTTACAACATAAAAATCATTGGTTGTTGTCAATCCTTTTATTGATTGTTTACCATAAGTTTGAATCAGTTTTGGAATTAAAAACTTGATCTACCACACAACTTTAAACATTCACACGGGTAACCATAAGCATAATTAGCATAATTTGATTTAGGTATATATCTTCAACTAGAAAGTTCTGTGTTGCACCCCTTCAAAGGAGAACAATATCTGCTACCGGTGAGCTTGAATTCTTATCCGAGCCAAACACCAGGCAATATGCCAGCGAGAGCGCTGGGACCCAAAAAGAATAGATTAAGAGATCTCACATCAGTTGGAGAGAATAACATAACATTCCTCATAAGGATATAAAACCTCTCCTTAGAAGACGCATTTAAAAATCGTGAGGGAAAGCCCAAGAAGGACAGTATTTATTACGGGTGGGCTTGGGCAAAGAATCCTCCCTTCCCTATGTTAACTTTATGAGGTGGTCGTGCTTATGTTGGATTTTTTAGATAATATTTTATATACACTTCGTGGGCTAAAACAAATCATGGGTTTGATTTATTAAAACAACATTATGAAAGAAAAAATCACCAATGTATTGAGTTCAGAACCTTCAAATTATGATCGAGTTTCCCAGAGAGTGCCAACAACAGCGTAGTTTTCCCAGAGCTTGGAGGACCCAGAAGTAATGTCATCCTACAAATGAGAAATTAATGTCAAAATTCAATTTACCAAAACCTTGGAAACAGGCAACTGTTTCTTAGGACAGATTAAAAAAAATAGTGACAATAATTTAAACAGTAAGACTTTTTTTTCTTCCCCCGTTTTTAATATAACAAAAATACTTGAACCTCTGGCCTTCATTATAATAAGAACTTTATTTTATTAAATACCTCAAGGAAAAAAAATATAAAAATTATCAGTACCTTGAAGGTTTGATTATTCCATTGAGACCTCTAAGTATATGAATTTTTCTCTTCTTGGACGGAGCCAACCCTATCAACCCAAGCAAGCTCTGTTTTTCATAACATTCAAAGCAAAAAATAATTAGAACATGAAATTTATTTATTTTTATCACAAATTCAAAATTCCCATCATTTTTACTATAATTCATTATTATTATATTTTTTAAAAAATATATTAGAATTTACTTTCTCTGTGATTTAAAGATCTAAATAATATTCCTTGTTTTATTAGATTATTAAGCCTTCAATAATAATTAAATTTCGGTTTTTCAATAATTTTTCCCCCTGATAATATGGAAAAGGAAATGAAAGGACAATAGTTCTATTAAGGATCGCATGTGAGATGTCTAGAAACTTAAATTTGGGTATTTGGTCATTATGGGAATTAAATCTGTGACAGTTTGATATACATAACATTAAATATAAATAGTAAAATCAATAAATAAAAAGGATTTAATTTTATTCATATGTACGAAAATAATCAATGGAAACAATATCGAATACCTAATAACGAAGTAGTCGACTAATATTATACATAAAAAACAAATAATTATAAAAATAAACAATTAGCAAAATAAATATGGACACGTGGATCAAAATTCTTTATTTCAAGAGTATGCTAAATGGTTGATTAATTTAAATAATACCAAAAGACAATAAAATTATTTAAATTGACACTAAATAATTCATTAATCATCTCCACATTAAGATAAACAAATAATTGCCCCTTTCTTCCATCACATGTACTTTAAGATTAATAGCTAATTCCTTAAAGAAAAAAACTAATAAATGATTTTCTCTCTCCTCTTTTATTTCCGAAAGAATAATTTCGTAGCTGAAATTATTTATGATGGGAAATAAATTTTAAAATGTTTATTTTAATCCATAAACCGATTAAAAACAACCCTTTAGGTCCTTATTATTTATCTAATTTTCATGTTCAAAATTACGTCATTAATTTATTTTTCAAGTTCATAAATTAAATAGACTTTTTGTATAGGTAAAAATAGAATTAACTATTTTAAAAATAATTTCTCGCGTAAACATATGTGAGAAATAATAATCTTTTAAAGTGTACCAATATTTTGTCTCAGTTTTTTTTTTCGGCCTAAATATTAAAGTTTTTTTAAACTTAAAATTTTGACTTTTTGATGAATAATATTTATTTTTTCTTTTTAAATCATTTAAAAGCCTAGGGAGTAGGTGCCAAGTGTTGAAAACGGGCTGTAGCCTTCTCCATTAAATATAATTTAATAATAACTTTCAAAATTAAAATAAATGTGGTGCCTAACTTTAAGCTAATTTTCAATATCTTTAATCTCTTAAAATTTTATATTTTATTCATAATACAGTAAATAATAGAAATTTTATGCTATTTTTAATCAAATTAAAAAATAATGTGAACTAATCGATTTTTTTGTTCAAAATAAATTATTATAATGTTGTTTCTTGAATAAAAATAAAAAATAATCGAATATGAAAATGGAAAAATACCTCGAGCGTGTTAAGTGCAGCGTTGAGCACAGTGGGCAGAGCTCTACTTCCAACGTAAACGTCCCCTTCGACTGACAAATTCTGGAAACGAACTTCAATTTTGGGTGTTTCAATCCCCACTCTGCATATCACGCAACCACACAGCTTCAGTTTCAATTTCAATAATGGCGTTTTCCGTTTCTTCCTTTTTTTTTTAGGGTTTCGGATTCTTCTTACCTATCGCTTCTCTCTCTGATCCGTCTCAGAAACTTCTCATTATCTTCTTCCACAACCTTCACCACGCTTTCCATCAGCCGTTTCCTCTCCTGAAATCCCAACGCCGTCACATCCACTTCCTCATGAACCACGCTTCCATTCTCCAGAACTTGCCGAAGCATTCCCTTCCTCATCCGATCGTACGTCGGAAGCCGCTCTATCGCCGCCCATCGCAACTCTTCCTCATCATCCATTCTTCCGCTTCTTGTAAACACGTCCGCCTGCGACTGCCATACTTCTCCTACGCTAACCGACGCCCAACTCCGCCGACTACTGGCTATTCGGCCTAGTTCCTCCCTTGCTATTCCCGTATCCATAAGTTCCTCGAGGCACAAACCTAGCGCATTGATCGACAATGGATAAAAGAAAACGATCGATTCATATACGAGTATCCGGCATCATCTGACTCATCTCCTTCGATTCTTCCGGCGAGAGTAGAACCCCGGCGGTCTGAGATAATGAAATTTAAGGTGGGGCGGCAGAGGGACGGGGAGTATAAGGGAAAGAGACGAAGATTTAATGGAAGGAAAATAAGGCGGTTCAAATCCATTTAATGGAAGAAGTTTCCGACTCTCTTATTTGAGGCCGACGTGTTTCTGTTAGCTGAAAACCAACTTATATCGGTGACTTCCTATTTTTCCAAATAATTTTTTTTCCCTCTTTAAATTGGTCTTAATCATTCAATTATTTTTATTTTTAACTGATATATATATATATATATATATATATATATAATACATGGCTTTGTTTTAGTTATTTCTTATTTATTATTAATCAGATGATTTGACACCACATATTATTTTGTTTTTTTTATTAAGATAATTAAAATTGTTCTCTTTAAATTGAGATTTACACAGATGAATTAAATGAGATTTTTTAGTGAAAAATTAATGATTTAATTTAAATTGTATGCTTTTTGAAACAATTAAATAGGCCAACGATCTATTAACACATAATTGAAAATTCAATAGTCTATTAAATAATTTTTAAATTTTAATGATTTATTAGTTTAAGAATTAAATATGTAATTTATCTTAAATCTTTCAAGCATTTATTTTGAGTTTTCTAGTGGTGTCCTCTAGCTTAACCTACCTTAGTCTTAGGGGTAACGTTATTATTTAATTTTATTAAAAAATAATAATTTTCACTATTATAGTTTAATTACCCAATAATCAAATATTACAAAATTTAAAAATACAGACTAAACCATATAAATATATATATATGTGTTAAAATTCAAGTAGCATGGCTAGATCGATATATCAATGTCGCAATATAATTTCGATGAGAGATTTTCAAAAGGGAAAAAGACAGCTACAAAATTGTTTTTGATTTAACAAAAAAAAAAAAAAAAAAAAAAA